GAGCGCCGCTGCGCTTCCCAAGCGGCGCACTATCCAGTGCGCCACCGGGCCGGCCCACCATTTCTTAGACTTAAAAAAAAAAAAGACAATTCACAGAAATACCACTCAGAAAGCAAAAGTAATGGAGCACGTCAGGGGCTCTGGGGGGGTGGGTAATGTTGTGCTTCTGGTCCTGGGTGCTGGTTACACAAGCACGTGGGTTTTGTGAAAATTCACTAAGCTGTACACATCTCTATATGATACTCTGTTATCACACTCTAACACGCTAATAAAAGTTCCATTTTGCTTTTTAAGTAAGCAGTAGCAGCACTATTCACAATAGCCAAAAGGTGGAAACAACCCACATGTCCATCAAAGAATGAGTGGATAAACAACATGTGGGGAATCTACAGAGTGGAGCACTCTTCAGCCAGAAAAAGGAATGAGGTGCTGACACGTGCTCCAACATGGATACCCCTTGCAAACACTGTGCGAAGTGAAAAAAGCCAGTCCCACAAGGACGGTCTGAAATGAATTAATTTAATTAAAATGAACTGTCCGAAATAGGCAAACCTATAGAGACAGAAAGCAGATCGGTGGTTGCCAGGGGCTGCTGGGGTGGAGAACGGGGAGGGACTGCTAATGGACATGGGGTCTCCTATTAAGAGGATGAAAATGTTCTGAAACTAGACCGAGGTGACGGTTGCGCAACACTGTGAATGTACTTAATACCACTAAAACGTACACTTTAAAATGATCAATTTCACGTTATGTAAACTTTATCTCGATTTTTTTTTTTAAAAAAAGCAATAACAACTTAATGTCAGATTCCATAAAAGAAAGCTCTTTAGGAAGGGCTTTCAAAGTATGTCTGATTTTAATGCAGTGTTTAAAAGCAGGGAGAAAGAAGCTGTCTCATCTCTGGCTTTAGGAACAAAAGTGAGGAAAGCACATGCTGTCGTCCACAGCTCTTGAGGACACTCCTCATCAGGAGAGGATGTGTGCAAAGAGCCCCGTCGTGGCCCCAGCCCCACGCAGACTGGGATGCCCTCACGTGGTGTGGAGCGTAGGGTGCTGTCACACGGTCTCAGAACTCTGGGTTTGCATCTGTCTCTCCCAGAGCCGTGTGCTCTTTAGGGGCAGCATTCTGGTTCGAGTTCTGTGTGCCTTGGACTTAGCACAGTGCCTAGATACAGCGGATGCTCAATGCATGCTCACCGATCCTAACTGGGCCACACACGGGCTTGTCCCACCACCTGGCATCACCCTGCCAGCAGGCAAAGCTGTGGTCACCCCTGGTCTGGGACTGAGATGAAGTGAGCTCCATGCCCAGCTCTGTCTCCCATATGCTGTGGGTCTAATCAGGCCACTCCAGGTCTCTGAGCCTCAGCTTCCTCACTTGTAAAATGGGATTAAAACCTCATTTCACAGGCTTGTTGGTTATCAAAATTGTTTCCTGATGATTGAAAGAATGTCAAGTGCCCAGCACATGAGAATATTCAAGAAAGGTCGGATCCCCTTTTCCTCCCATGACAATTTTGTTCAGGAGAGTAGGGTGCTGTCCCCAGAAGGACATGGGTTCTTCCCCCACCAGCACCCACCCTCACTTTCTTCCCCTTCACTTGCCTTCATGCCAAAGGTAAATATGGTGATGACGATTTTGAAGATCAGTGCCAGGGCCAGCTGTCAACATGTCCGTGTAAATGCCAAACCCAGCTGGCCGGTCTGGAATGTCATCCACAGGCCGGGTCATGTTGGGGTCGTTGATGTAGTCACACAGCTGGGAGGACTCAAGGGCCCCACAGTCGTTGAACAGCTCAGAAATGAGCTCACTGGTGCTCTGGCGTGTGTAGGGATTGGGGTAGGCAATGACAGCGGTGATGGCAGTCACCACAATGACCTCCAGCACCGGGTACTTCCCCAGCCGGGTGGTCTTGCGCCTCCTGCACCAGGCGATGTTGCAGCGGATGAAGAGGGTTCCCCACAAGCCCCCAAACACCCCAAGAAGGATGAAGGGGAAGAGTTCAGCCATGTACCAGGGCGTGTGATATTCCACATAAAAGAGAACAAGGTGGCTGTTCCCAAAGGGATTGATGGATCGCAACGTGAAGGCCGCCACCAGGGCCGCAAAAAATGACCTCCACAATGTCTCCGAGGGAAAGTAGTAACTGACCTGGGATGAAGAAGAAGAAAATTAGAGACTGGCCAGAGAAAGAGCTGCTCAGAGTCCAGCCNGAGCGCCGCTGCGCTTCCCAAGCGGCGCACTATCCAGTGCGCCACCGGGCCGGCCCACCATTTCTTAGACTTAAAAAAAAAAAAGACAATTCACAGAAATACCACTCAGAAAGCAAAAGTAATGGAGCACGTCAGGGGCTCTGGGGGGGTGGGTAATGTTGTGCTTCTGGTCCTGGGTGCTGGTTACACAAGCACGTGGGTTTTGTGAAAATTCACTAAGCTGTACACATCTCTATATGATACTCTGTTATCACACTCTAACACGCTAATAAAAGTTCCATTTTGCTTTTTAAGTAAGCAGTAGCAGCACTATTCACAATAGCCAAAAGGTGGAAACAACCCACATGTCCATCAAAGAATGAGTGGATAAACAACGTGTGGGGAATCTACAGAGTGGAGCACTCTTCAGCCAGAAAAAGGAATGAGGTGCTGACACGTGCTCCAACATGGATACCCTTGCAAACACTGTGCGAAGTGAAAAAAGCCAGTCCCACAAGGATGGTCTGAAATGAATTAATTTAATTAAAATGAACTGTCCGAAATAGGCAAACCTATAGAGACAGAAAGCAGATCGGTGGTTGACAGGGGCTGCTGGGGCAGAGAACGGGGAGGGACTGCTAATGGACATGGGGTCTCCTATTAAGAGGATGAAAATGTTCTGAAACTAGACCGAGGTGACGGTTGCGCAACACTGTGAATGTACTTAATACCACTAAAGTGTATACTTTAAAATGATCGATTTCACGTTATGTAAACTTTACCTCAATTTTTTTAAAAAAAGCAATAACAACTTAATGTCAGGTTCCATAAAAGAAAGCTCTTTAGGAAGGGCTTTCAAAGTATGTGTGATTTTAACGCAGTGTTTAAAAGCAGGGAAAAAGAAGCTCTCATCTCTGGCTTTAGGAACAAAAATGAGGAAAGCACATGCTGTCATCCACAGCTCTTGAGGACACTCCTTATCAAGAGAGGATGTGTGCAAAGAGCCCCGTCGTGGCTCCAGCCCCACGCATACTGGGATGCCCTCACGTGGTGTGGAGCATAGGGTGCTGTCACACGGTCTCAGAACGCTGGGTTTGCATCTGTCTCTCCCAGAGCCGTGTGCTCTTTAGGGGCAGCATTCTGTTTCAAGTTCTGTGTGCTTGGACTTAGCACAGTGCCTAGATACAGCGGATGCTCAATGCATGCTCACCGATCCTAACTGGGCCACACACGGGCTTGTCCCACCACCTGGCATCACCCTGCCAGCAGGCAAAGCTGTGGTCACCCCTGGTCTGGGAGTGAGATGAAGTGAGCTCCATGCCCAGCTCTGTCTCCCATATGCTGTGGGTCTGATCAGGCCACTCCAGGTCTCTGAGCCTCAGCTTCCTCACTTGTAAAATGGGATTAAAACCTCATTTCACAGGCTTGTTGGTTATTAAAAGAATTGTTTCCTGATGACTGAAAGAATGTCAAGTGCCCAGCACATGAGAACATTCAAGAAAGGTCGGGTCCCCTTTTCCTCCCATGACAATTTTGTTCAGGAGAGTAGGGTGCTGTCCCCAGAAGGACATGGGTTCTTCCCCCGCCAGCACCCACCCTCACTTTCTTCCCCTTCACTTACCTTCATGCCAAAGGTAAATATGGTGATGACGATTTTGAAGATCAGCGCCAGGGCCAGCTGCCACATGGCCGTGTAAACACCAAACCCAGCTGGCCGGTCTGGAATGTCATCCACAGGCCGGGTCATGTTGGGGTCGTTGATGTAGTCACACAGCTGGGAGGACTCAAGGGCCCCACAGTCATTGAACAGCTCAGAAATGAGCTCACTGGTGCTCTGGCGTGTGTAGGGATTGGGGTAGGCAATGACAGCGGTGATGGCAGTCACCACAATGACCTCCAGCACCGGGTACTTCCCCAGCCGGGTGGTCTTGCGCCTCCTGCACCAGGCGATGTTGCAGCGGATGAAGAGGGTTCCCCACAAGCCCCCAAACACCCCAAGAAGGATGAAGGGGAAGAGTTCAGCCATGTACCAGGGCGTGTGATATTCCACATAAAAGAGAACAAGGTGGCTGTTCCCAAAGGGATTGATGGATCGCAACGTGAAGGCCGCCACCAGGGCCGCAAAAAATGACCTCCACAATGTCTCCGAGGGAAAGTAGTAACTGACCTGGGATGAAGAAGAAGAAAATTAGAGACTGGCCAGAGAAAGAGCTGCTCAGAGTCCAGCCCCTTTGGTCAGCAGCCACCTGCTGGCGCCCAGCATGAGACGCACTGGGACCAAACATGGACGAACGGCACTCACTTCATCAGTCAGTCCAGGCTTGACTTTGACAAAATGCACCAGCGAAGATACCAAAGGATCTAATTGTGTCTAAAAGTAATATGGATACTGAGCAAGGTGGCTTAAGCCGCTTTTTTTAAGAGAAAAATATTTAATCATAATCCTGTTCATAGCACAGAGACCCTCCTAAAAGCAAATAAACCTCTGGATTTGATTCAGGGGTTGGAAAACTCTGGCCCACAGGTCAACTCCAGCCCAGCAAAAGTATTTGTAAGGCACATGAGTTAAGAATGGTTTTTACATTTTTAAATGTTTGGAGAAGAAAAAAAGGTTTTTTTGAGTTGAGCTACTCAGAAGAACAATATTTTGTGACATGTGAAAACTATAGAAAATTCTAATTTCATGGTAAAAGGCCACAAAGAAAGTTAAAATTGCATAATGATAAACACACACACACAAACACACACACACACACACACACACACACACACGATATTAAAAAAAGAAAACTCTAACTTCAGTGCCCATGGGAAAACAGCCATACCCATTCACGAACTATGTGTTGTCTATGGCTGTTTTTGTGCCACATGGCCAAGTTGGGCAGTTGCAGCAGAAATTGTGTGGCCCACAGAGCTGGAAATATTTCCCATTTGGCCCTTTACGGAAAACGTTTGCCAACCAGCCAACACCTGGAATGATCCATTAGCGTTACCAAAACCAAAAAGGCTTAATTCAGCTGGCTCTGAGAAACAGAGACGACGCTATAAATCTTCAAAACAAATTCACGTTGGCAATTTTTAAAACAATATTTTTAAATGGCAGCTCCTTAATTAACTGCAGGAATCTTATGCAACACTTCTTTGAGTCTACTCCTCACAGGGCAGGAGACGAAGGCTCACTGCTATGCCCGTCATCCGCGGTCCTTGCCTCTCAGCCCCACGCATTCCCTCCGCTGCCCCTTCTCACCTCTTCCAGACTGAAAAGCACACCCCCGATCGGAGCACCAAAGGCCACGGAGACTCCAGCCGCAGCCGCCGCTGAAAGCACCTGCAAGGCAAACAGTTCCGTATGAGCTCCGGGCCCTCCGTGAACAGCAGCGCGTGCAGGCGAGACCATGGAGGGGCTGCGGGCAGAACGCTTTCCTGCAGCGGCAGCTGGCCGGCTCACCTCGCGCCTCTTGCCCTCATTCTTGCTGTACTTGGAGAAAAGGCTGCTGAAGAAGTTGCCGCAGCAACAAGCCACGTGCACCAGCGGCCCTTCTTTCCCAAGGCTCAGGCCGGATGACACTACCAGCACCAGGGTGACCATCTTAATTAGCAGGGTCCACTTCCCCAAGTAGCCCCTGATGATGAAGCCGCTCAGAATGGTCCTGATCTGAAACAGAGGATCAAGAATGAGAGGGAACGAACTGTTCCAATGCACGGCCAGGAAAATAGCTGTAATTCCTCTGAGAGGCATTTTTAAAGTTTCGATTCACAAAGTCACGTGGAAGACAGGCTCTTTTAGTTTTCCATTTGCCTATATTATATTAACAGAAACTTACATGAATATATAATTTTATATTAACAGAAACATTCAAAACTTCAATGCAAGTAAACCTTAAGAATTCCCAAAGTACTAAAAGATCACAGGACTGAATCTAAGGTCTCATTTTAGTCATGATGTTTTGTCCTGTTCACATTACCTCTTGCTGTGTTGAGAAGAGACATACAAGGGGTCTTCAAAAAGTTCATGGAAAGATTCGTATTATCTTTAATTCCATTTTTCCACAAACTTTTTGAAGTATCCTCATATACCTATGATTTTAACTGCTACCTTTTGACTCTTGAACGATATTTCAGATAAA